TGTCGGGGGGCACGGAGGCGCTCCCAGCGCTGCTGTGTGGTGCCAGCTGCCGCGGGTCACACCGAGGGGACAGTGCCAGCCGCTCCCGGGCGGCCTTAATCCCCCTCAGCCCCCAGGAGCTGCCCCGCCAGTCCCTGGTGTGTCACCCTGCCCCCGGGACCGGCACTGGGAAAGGGAGGGGAGGGAGCCCCCAAACCCCCCGGGGGTCCAGGTGAGCCCCTCCAGGCTGCCCCCCAAAACCCCGGCTTTGCTGCCCGCACCTCCTCTTCGCAGCGATCCAGCCCCGGGGCGATGAGCTTAAAGCAAAGAGGGTTGGCAGCAGTCAAAATAGCCGCTGCTAAGACAGCTAAGGGGATTAGAGAGATAAAGCACAGCCCTGCTCGGCAGGGCCCGCGGAGGACGAGCTCTGCCCGGCTCCTGCCCTACCCTGCTCCGTTCCTGCCCCTTCCCTGTTCCTGCCCCGTTCCTGCTTCTGTTCCTGCTCCGTTACTACCCCTTCCCTGCTCCTGTCCTGCTCCTGCTCCTGCTCCTGTCCCTGTCCCTGTCCCTGCCCCTCTCCTGCTCCTGTCCCGTTCCTGCTCCGTTCCTGTCCCTTCCCTGCTCCTGCTGCTGTTCCTGCCCCTGTCCCTGCTCCTGCTCCTGCTCCTGCTCCTGCTCCTGTCCCTGTCCCTGTACCTGCTCCTGCCCCTTCCCTGTTCCTGCCCAGCTCCTGCCCCGTTCCTGCTCCTGACCCTGTCCTTCCCTGTTCCTGCCCTGCCCCTCTCCTGCCCCTCTCCTGTCCCTGTCCCTGTCCCTGCCCCTGTCCCTGTCCCTGCCCTTCCCTGCCCCGTTCCTGCCCCGTTCCTGCCCCGCAGTCTCGGGCTGGGCCCCGCACCCAGCTCTCACCCCTCGGGCCAGCCCGGGCTGCTGCCACGGCCCCGGGGCATTGCAGGGAGCCGAGACTGCAGAGGGGAATTAGAGCAGGATCAGTCACGGATTCCAGCACACCGACCCCGTGAAGCCTTGCTTAAAGCACACGATAAATTCAGTGTGCACAGGGCTGGTAACGCCTTGGACACCACTGCAACATGACAGGGACAGTGACAGGGACAGGGACAGGGGCAGGGACAGGGACAGTGACAGACTGGCCTAAAGCAGCAGAGAGGGATTCAGCAAAACCTCCTCATCTTTACAGCCCGGCACAACCTGCAGCACAGCCACAGCACCCCACAGCACCCCACAGCACCCCAGAGCATCCCACAGCATCCCACAGCATCCTATAACATCCCACAGGATCTCACAGCACCCCACAGGATCTCACAGCATCCCACAGCATCCCACAGCACCCCACAGCCCAGAGCACATGGGACCATGGCCACAGCCCCGTGGCCAATTGCAAAACTGTTTAATTATAAACCCTGGGATAGAGCGGAGAGAAACCAGGTGGGACAAGGCACAGACAGGACCAGGGAGCAGCTGGGGAGAGCAGCCAGAGCACTTAAGGATGAGTTAAACCCAGACCCTGAGGAACAAACTCCTGGGCAGAGCCACACGTTGCCCCAGGGCCGAGTTACGTTCTGGTTCACACGAGGTTGATTTCTGTTCTTCTGAGACTTGTCTGAATCTGGTTCATTCCAGCCTGTAAACTTGACACTTTCCTGGTACATTAAATTCTCAGGAAAAACGCAGCTGGCACAAAATCAGGTGAGTCTTTGTCTGTACCCATCTTTCAGAGATCAGGTTTCAGCCTGGAGCTGTCATCCAGCCCCTCATCCCCCGGAGCTGCAGCCCTCCCCTGACAGCTCAGCCTCTCCAAAGGCTGGATGTCTTCAGAGAGCCCTCACTGCTCTTTGCAGCGTGGACACTGCATGCTCCAGGGGCTGCCAGGCTAAATTTAGGGGTGCAGATAAGAGTATCAGCCTCCCAGCTCCAAGGGCACTGGGAACATGGACATTGGCCAAGGCTCCCAGCAGCCGCCCTTCCAACAATGAAACTTCAAGGCAGCAATTCCCAATTTGGTCACACAGGGGAAAAAAAACCACAAATGTAAGGCTTGGAAAGGACTTAAACATCATGGTGTTTTCTCTAAACCAGCAGAACTGTGATGTCAAACCAGAGCAAAGCCATCCTCCAATCCTCTCACCTCCCCTGGGATGGGGAGGGCATTGCCAGGGCAGCCTGGCAGCGATGGGGCCTGCAGGATGTGCAAGGGGAAAAGCAGAACTGAGGGCAGCCAGCCTTGATATCGTGGTGGCCCCGTCTGGAAAGAAAGGAATTAGAGCTGTGTTCATGGCAAAGGGCACTGGGACAGCAGGGTAGGAAAAATAATATTTTAATGTCTATGAGATAATGAAAGCAAGAGGGGAAAGAAAAAAAAAGGAAAAGGAAAATCCTCTGTATTTGGCCAAGATTTGATTATGATTTGAAAAAAGCCGAATATCACTCATAAAAGGGGAAAAACAAAAAAAAAAACAAAAAAAAACCAAAAAAAGGGAAAAAAAAAAAAAAAAAAAAACACAAACAAACAAACAAAAAAAAAATAAGCGGAATCCAAATTCCTGCCAAGTGTTTTTGAGCCTTGGAGCTGCCTGCACAAACCTGCCCCAGCCCCAGCCGTGCCCTGGAGCCTGAGGGGCTCCCCAGGCTCCCCTCTCCCCTCTCAGGGTCTGCCAGCACAAGTTCCCTGCCCAGAGCGGGCACAGGGCAGGAGCAGCCCGGGAGCACAGCCCCAGGGCACGGGACGGGCAGGGACAGGGAATGCACCCAGAGAGGGGACCCAGGAGCAGCTGGGCTCTGGCACAGGGGGCACAGCTCTGGCACAGCTCGGGCACAGAGGGCACAGCTCTGGGCACAGCTCTGGCGCAGCTCTGGGCACAGCTCTGGGCACAGCTCTGGGCACAGCTCTGGCACAGAGGGCACAGCTCTGGGCACAGCTCTGGCTCTGCCCACCAAGCCTCGCAGCAGGCGGATCACAGAACCCTCCCCCGCCAGCCTTTCCTGCTCCCGCCCCCAGGAAAAAGCCCAGACCAAGTTCTCGGGCTGCGCAGAGGCAAAGGAGCCAGAAGGAGCCGCGGGGGGGGCGAGGAGCAGCCTGGCAGGGAGCGGGGCTGGGAACAAAGCTGGGCACCCAGCAGGGCCAGAGCCCAGCTCAGCCCTGGAACTGCTCGTACGGGCAAACCAGGCTGGGTTTGCCCAAAATATCCCACATTCCAGTCCCTTTTCATCAGCTACTTCGCAAAAGCCCAGCCCAACCCCTCAATTCTCGTCACCAGCAGCAAGGTGGGACACTGCTGGCTCTGGAGCCCCCCAGTGCCTCCATCCCCAGCCCTGGTGTCCCCAGGGATCACAGGACACAATTCCTTCCTGTCCCACTTGCAGGTGCTGCTCACGGGTTGGTGGTTATTGCTTTACTGGTGCCAGTAAGAAACTAAAACATCTTGAGAAGAGCCGCTCTCCCTGCGCCACAACAAGATCCCAGCTCAGATATGGTTCATGACTTCATTTTCTTTTCCTTCCCACAGGCAAGGAATGAAATGGCTGCCCATGATCACAACCCGAGTTCCCCAAAGGGAGGCAGGAAAGGCAGGGACTGCACTGCTGTTACCTGAGCCAGCGTGGGCTGAGCCCTCCTTGTCACAGGGGAACTTTGGGCTGGGGGAGAAAGGCAGAAGAGGAACAATATCATCCATAAGGCAGCAGCAAGGCCAGGGAGCAGCTGCCCTGCCAGGCACCCCATGAATTACAGCACCTGAATTTTAAAGGTATCACACGAGGGGGAAAAGCCATGACACAATTCGGTCTGGTTCTGTCAGGCAGAGACAAGCAGAGTGCTGTGCCCCCAGAAATCAGAGCACAGAGCAGCTGCTGCCCTGCAGGGGAGGCTCCTGTCCTGCTGACACGGCTTTGGCCAGCAGAGGATGAGGCTGGGGCAGGGCAGCTCCAGGAGCTCCCACAGCCCTTCCCCACCTGGGGAACTGTGGATGGAGACCCCAGAGCAAAGCTGGGACCTGGTCTATCCTCATGGCACAAGATCCGTGGGTTGAATTTGCCAAGGCTTGGGGAGCTGCTGGGTGTTCTGTGGGCTTTCCTCAAGGTTATGTTCATTTAAAAGTCAGAACAAAGCTCCTGCAAAGCCCAAAGGAGGAACCACGGCAGCAAGGGCACTGATTTCTCTGCAGAAAACACATCCAGTGTCTCCCTGCAAAGCTCTCTGTGCCCTTTGGGGCTGAGGTGGCTGCACCCACAGATGGCTCCAGCTCAGCCCCTGCTCCCTCATCTGCTCACAGACAAAAAAATAGAGATTAAAAACTCAGCCCAGCCTCAGCAGAACACTCCTGGGGCTGTTTGGGGTGCAATGTGCTGCTGGGTCCCTGCTGCCATCACCCAGGGGCAGGAGCTGCTTTGGGGCATGGAGCAGCCCTGTCCTGGGGAGCCCAGGACCAGCTGGGGGTGTCACATCCCTGCCCTGGGGAGCCCAGGACCAGCTGGGGGTGTCACATCCCTGTCCTGGGGAGCCCAGGACCAACTGGGGGTGTCACATCCCTGCCCTGGGGAGCCCAGGACCAGCCAGGGGTCACATCCCTGCCCTGGGGAGCCCAGGACCAGCTGGGAATGTCACATCCCTGCCCAGGCCCTGCAGGAATAAAGGACAATGTTGAACCACCTGCACTGGGCTCCCTCTGATGTTCTCCAAGTGAAACTTGATGCTGCTCAGCAAAGACACACCTCTTCCAGGGTGTTGTGCAAAATTCTGCATTTTAATGTAGGACAGGAAATATGAAAAGAGCCGGGCAGAACCCAAACAGCCCCGCTGGCCAGGCCAGGCAGCAGGCAGCAAAGCAAGGGCTTTGCCTGGCTTGTCCATCCACCCAGCCGTGATTTTCCAGGGCTTTGGAAGCTGCAGCTCCTCCGCTGGCAGGTTTTTAAAGGGTCACACTGCTGCTTCCCCCAGGAGCAGCTCTGCAGAGGGTTTTTTGTTCCTTCCTTCTCTCCCGTGCTGTATTTCCTGACTCCACAGTGGGATGGGTCGGTTGCAAAAGATTCTCATTCCCTTCCTGGGATTGGTTTTGGCCTTCTGGTTCTATTCTGCGAGGGACACTTTCAATCCGGGTAAGTGTCCAGAGTGAATCTGACTTTAGGAAAAAACAACAGAAAGCCACATTTGGGTGTTTTGCATGGAAACCGCTCAGAGCTCGGAGCAAGGCACGGCCGAGCCTTGGTGTGGTGGAGGATACTGGAAAGTGGCTTTAACAAAGATTTAAAACCAAACTGAACAGGGGCTACGCAGAAAAACCTCCTGAGGGAGCAGGTGAGGCAGGGGGTGAGAGGCAGAGGGCACTGAGTGCTCCATTTTCCTCGTGCAGGAAAAGATTTTATAAACGGGGCTTGTGAGTGTTAGAGTCTGGAGCACGCACTCAGCGGATTGCTTTGACTACAGAATAGTTGGGGCGTTGATAAATTGTGCCCTGGCTCGTGGAAAAAGCTGCTGGGAGAGTCCAGAGCCGTCCCTGTGTCGCTGCATTCCCGGGGAGCTGCAGCAGCCCCACAGCTTTTCCATGCAATGGAGAGCCCTGCTGGTGCTGGATGCGTTGCACCCTCAGGCTCGTTTACCTTCCGATTAACCGCTGGTCTGAAGGGCACGGGGGATTTATTGTCTCGTAGTTTAAAGGTTTTTCTAAGAGCGTGAGGGTGACTGGAAGGGCTGTGCCTCTGCCACAGAGATGCTGCGCGGGAAGCGGGTGATCGTGACGGGAGCCAGCACGGGCATCGGGGAGCAGATGGCATATCACCTGGCACGGATGGGCTCCCACGTGCTGCTCACGGCACGCACCGAGCCCCGGCTGCAGAGCGTAAATGGGCACCGCGCGTGGGCATGGCAGGGACAGAGCTCCCACAGGGACACGGCAGCACACAGGAACACAGAGCACACAGGAACATCCATGGCACACAGGAACATCCATGGCACACAGGAACACACAGCCACAGGGACATTCATGTCACACAGGGACACACGGCACACAGGAACATCCATGGCACAGGTCCCTCTGGGCACCATGACAGGCACAGGTCCTGGCTGTACACACACAGTAATCCCCTCCTGCACACACACAGACAGACAGACAGACACACACACAGCAGTCCCCTCCTGCACACACAGCTCCCTGCACTCCACCCCGCACTGTCTGGGCTGCACACACAGGGACAGTCAGTCACAGTCACAGTCACAGTCACAGTCACAGCCACATCCCCACACCCTCATCCCACGGCTCCTGCAGTTCCAGCTCAGCCTGCCCGCAGGAGCAGCCAGACTGCCTCGGGTAACACGCTCACCCAAGGAATCATTTTCCAGGCTCCCTTTGAAGCTCACAAGGCTCCAAACACACTCCCCAAAGTCCAAACCACTGCTTCTAGGTGGGGACACATCACAGGGAGCTCAGACACCCACACCGAGAGCCAGAGGGCTCGGGGGCAGGGAGGGGCTCCGGGGCAGGGAGGGGGATCTGGGCAGGGAGGGGGATCTGGGGCAGGGATGGGGATCCCAAAGCAGGGATGGGGTTCCCAGAGCAGGGAGGGGGTTCCCAGGGCAGGGATGGAGTTCCCAGAGCAGGGATGGGGTTCCAGGGCAGGGATGGAGTTCCCAGGCAGGGATGGGGTTCCCGGGCAGGGAGGCGGTTCCCGGGCAGGGATGGAGTTCCCAGGCAGGGATGGGGTTCCCAGGCAGGGAGGGGGTTCCCGGGCAGGGAGGGGGTTCCCAGGCAGAGATGGAGTTCCCAAAGCAGGGATGGGGTTCCCAGGCAGGGATGGGGTTCCCAAAGCAGGGATGGGGTCCCAGGGCAGGGAGGGCGCTGCTGAGCCCCGCTGTGCTGCAGGTGGTGCGGCGCTGCCTGGAGCTGGGAGCGGCCTCGGCGCGCTTCGTCAGCGGCACCATGGAGGACACGGCCTTCGCCCAGCACGTGGTGAGGGAGGCTCAGAGCTCGCTGGGTACGTCTGAACCTGCTCTGCACACTGCCAGCATCCCGGCCCGGCCGTGCCACGTGTAAAAATAGTGGGAGAGATGGGGTGAGATGGGAAAAATTCTCCCCGAATTCTGCCATTTGCAGCCCCGCTCCTCTGCCTGCACTGCTGCCTCTCCAACTGAACTGCGCTCTGGATTTCAGCTCTGTGGCCTCCTGGCATCCCCTGGCAGTGTCACAGCCCTGGATTTCACCAGCCCAGTGCCGGGGTCCGGGGGATCCAGCAGCCCTGGCCACTGTGGCCACGGGTCACGGCTCAGAAATGCACCAGCCAGCTCCATGGGGAGCACTGCCTCTCCCTCCCGGCCCACAGACAGCTCAGGGCTGGTCTCCCTTGGGCCATGGCATGTGTGTTCTGAACTAAAAAAATACATCACAACAAAATATTTACTGGCAGCCACCATCCAGGCTGTATCCCTGCTCCGGAGATAACAGGCCACAGCTCTGACCCACAAACCTGATTTCCTTGGATTACACTTATTCTGCTCCCAGAAAATGTTGTTTTGCTGGCTGCAGCCCTCTCCCCCCCAGCACTAATGCCCATTTTTCTGCTTGCAGGAGGCCTTGACATGCTGATCCTTAACCACGTGGGCGCGTCCTACTTTGGCTTTTTTGATGGGGACGTTGAGCACGTACGAAAGCTCCTGGAAATCAACTTCCTCAGCTACGTGGCCATGACCACGTCAGCCCTGCCCATGCTGAAGGAGAGCCAGGGCAGCATCGTGGTGGTTTCATCCATGGCAGGTGAGTGGGCAGTGTCACCAGGCTGGTGACATGGGACTCGCTCAAAAGGCACCTGGGCTGTCAGGAGCAGCACACAGAGGCACCACCACCCTCCAGAGCCATAAGTGCTCAACACTGAAACCCCACCAAAACCAGCCCCAACACCCAGATCCAGACGGGTTTGGGGTTCTCTTGAAGGAATTTGTTTTCTGCTCAATCCAATCGCCCCATTTTGGTTTCTGACCAGTGCTGCAGTTAAACCCACAGCTGCCGTGCTGTCAGTGTTCTGCTGAGCAGCTCAGGCCAGGGACAAGAGTTTCAGCTTTGCTCCATCTCTCCCCTCTGAGGGTTTTGTGGTTCCTGTGGGCTGCCCATGCCCTGAGCAGATGTGAGCCACGGCTTTGGCCTTAAGAGCTGGAAGCCAACAAGAATATTTGTAAGGCTGCTGCTCAGGTGCCAGGATGACAGCTCACTGGCAAAATCCTGTCTCTGAGGAAAGGCAGAAGAGCAGCTCAGGCAGAGCAGCCTCGTGTGCTAACACAGAACTTTGCTCTGTGTCCAGGTAAAGTCGGGTTCCCCTTTACCGTCCCCTACTCTGCGACTAAGTTTGCCCTGGATGGATTTTTCAGCTCCCTGAGGCAGGAGTTTGCCATTCAGAGCATTAATGTTTCCATCACGCTCTGCATCCTCGGCTTCATCGACACAGGTGAGAGCAGAGCTGTTCCAGCCCTGCTCAGGGCTGAGCATCCCCAGCCCAGCTCCTTCTCCTGCCCTGCTCTGCCACCAGCTCAGCCTTTCACCCCTGCTGCCGCCTCTCGAGGGGATCCCACCTGTCTGCCCCAAAAAACAGCCTCAAAGGCCATTTATTTCCCTGGGCACTGCTTACAGGATGGCACAGCCCAACACCCCTTTGGGTGCCCGCTGTCCCCTCATCCCCAGAGACCCCCACTGTCCCCCATCCTCCAGAGCTCCCCGCTCTCCCCCATTCCCCAGAGACCCCCACTCTCTCCCCCATCCCCCGGGGGTTCCCACTCTCCCCCATCCCCAGAACTCCCCACTCTCCCCTATCCCCGGGGGTTCCCACTCTCCCCCATTCCCCAGAGACCCCCACTCTCTCCTCCATCCACCAGAGACCTCCGCTTTCCCCCATCCCTGGGGATTCCCACTCTCCCCCATCCCCGTTCTCCCCGCTCTCCCCCATCCCCGCTCTCCCCGCTGTCCCCGTCCCGGGGGTGCCGCGCTGACGGGGCGCGCAGACCGCGCGGTGCGCGCTGCCGCGGAGGTGCTGCAGGAGCGGCCGGCGCCGCGGGACGAGTGCGCGCTGGAGATCCTCAAGGGCGCAGCGCTGCGCCGGAGGGAGCTCTACTACCGCTACAGCTCCACGCGGCTGCCGCTGCTGCTGCGGGACTGCGCCGCCGAGCTGCTCGATTACCTGGTGCGGAGCCGCTACCGCCTGCCCGCGCCCCCCGCCGCCCCCCGCCCGCCGCTCTGAGCCCGCCGCCGGGAGGGTCCCCGGCACCGGGAGGGTCCCTCCCCTGGCACCGGGAGGGTCCCTCCCCTGGCACCGGGAGGGTCCCTCCCCTGGCACCGGGAGGGTCCCCGGCACCGGGAGGGTCCCTCCCCTGGCACCGGGAGGGTCCCTGGCACCGGGAGGGTCCCCGGCACCGGGAGGGTCCCCGTTCCTGGCCGGTCCGTGCTGCGCTGGCGGCACCGCCGGGACAGAGCCCGCAGCGGCGGCTCCGTGCCCTGCTCGCCCCGCCCGGCCGCGGAACGCTAATTATTGAGCTAGTTATTAAATAAAGTGTATTAACCCGACAGCTCTGCGTGTGCTTTATCGCCTTTCTCAGCTGTTCATGGGCACAGCTCCCCTGGGCACTGCCAGGGATGCAGGGGCAGCCACAGCTGCTCTGGACACCCTGTGCCAGGGCATGCCACCCTCACAGGGAACAATTCCTCCCTAATTTTTCCTTACCCCAAGATCACCCACAGAAACCAGCACACACAGAGTGGGCTCTGCCCTTTAAACTTTCAGAAAATCACCCTCAAAGCCATTTGCCACCTGCCCAGCAGACACTGAGCAGAATCACAACCCTGGGAAAGTTGAAGATCTTTCCTATTCATCCACTTGGCTCTTTTACTGCCTTTTGCAGCCCATGGATTCCTCAACAGTGATATTTTTTAGGGGTCAGAGCCACCCAGCAAACTGCCCGTATTATCCCCATGGTGATATCCCAGAGGATAAACCAGAACCACCAGCAGTGGTTGGAAAATGGAACCTTTGCCAGGCCTGCTCCGTACAACAGAGTGCTGCTCAGTAAATCCTTGTGCAGCAGCGAGGAAGGGAAGGGCTGCTCCTGGTTTAGATGTGGGTGGGGAGAGAGGGATGTCCACTGGTCCCAGGGATGTGTGCTCTGAGGGGACACTGCTGTCCCAGGGCAGCCACCAGACCCTGCACCCACTGCTCTGCTCAGTGCCTTCCCTTCAGCTCTCTCAAACGCACTCCTGCCTCTCCTGGCAGGCCAAGGGTGCAAAGGGACAGCCTAAAGTCCAAAGCCACACGCTTCATTAGGTTAATGTTTGCTAAATCAACGGCAGGGCAAAGAAAAGGTCCAACAGCAAACTTGTGTGAGATAAGAACCAGCTCAGAACTTGCCAGCCCCGTTTGCAAGCTGCAGCCACCTTCACCTCCCCGCGGGGCTCGTCTGGTTCCTGCCTGCACCTCTGCAAGGGGATGGGATTGCTCCTGAAGATTCTCATCCCTTTGCTGGGAGCAGCGCTGGCCTTTTATTTTTATTCGGCACCCGAGAACTTCAGTGAAGGTAAGCTGGAGAAGCAGGCTCCACAAGCAGCGCCAGAGGGGCGGCGTGTGCGGGGCACGGGGACCTGGATGGCCTGGCAGAGTCAGGGAGGGCTGAGGGCCGGGAGGGGAGGTCAGACCGCCCCAGGCAAGGGTCAGAGCACCGGGGAAACTCACGGAGCTACACTGGCTCTGCTGGACACGGCGTCTGACCTCTGTAAATGACTTATTCGGGAAACAAGCAGTTTTAAACGTTCCATCCTTTTACTGGCCAGCTCTCCCCGCTCCCTGGCCAGGCTTGGTGCAGAGCTCAAGCCTCCCCACCACACTGGGACTGGGGATCAGACTCCAGCGGGGTCTGGCGAGGCTGGCAGGGGCACGGAGGAGCCGCGGTGCCCGGGGGCAGAGGGCCAGCGAGGGCTGTGCCAGCCCTGAGCGCTGCACCCTCCTCTGCAGAGATGCTCCGGGGGAAGCGGGTGATCGTGACGGGAGCCAGCAGCGGCATCGGCGAGCAGATGGCATATCACCTGGCACGCATGGAGGCCCACCTGCTGCTCACGGCACGCACCGAGGCCAGGCTGCAGAAAGTAAATGGCGAGCAGGGCGTGCCGGGCTGGCTGCGATGTTCCCCCCAGCCCGGGCACAGCGGGTACCCTGCAGATCCACCCCAGGCCTTCCCCAGCAGCAGCCCGGCCCAGGAAGGAGCAGCCTGGGCTGGGGGTTCCGAGCAGGGCAGTCCATCCCAGCCCGTTCTGCCCGCAGGTCGTGGAGCGATGCCTGGAGCTCGGCGCTGCCTCCGCCCGCTACATCAGCGGCTCCATGGACAGCCCCAGCCTGCCCCAGGAGCTGCTCAGGGAGGCTGAGAACACCTGGGGTAGGTGCTGTGGAGCTGCCTTCTGTGGTCAATGCTTTGTGGGGGCTCCCGGGACAAGTGGAGTGAATCTCGACTCGGTGTTTCAAAAGGCTGGAGTATTATATTGCGATTATATTATATTAAAATGATATGCTAAAAATTATACTAAAAGAATAGAGAGAAAAGGATCCATCAGAAGGCTGGAAAGAACAGGAATGGAATGGAAACAAAGGCTTGTGACTCTCAGAGTGCGATGCAGCTGCATCTGTGATTGGCCATTAATTAAAAACAACCACCATGCCCCAGTCCCAGCTGCACCTGTTGCATTCCACAGCAGCAGACAGTTATTGTTTACATTTCTTTCCTGAGGCTTTTCAGCTTCTCAGGAAGAAAACACCCTAGCAAAGGATTTTTATAAAATATCAGCTCCAGCCCTCCTCACCCCGGAGCGCAGCGCAGCCTCCAGGAGGGGCTGGGTCGGGGTGACAGCGGCTGGTGGCACCCCTGCTCTGCCCCCAGGTGGCCTGGACATGCTCATCCTGAACCACATCGGCCAGAGCGGCTTCACCTACTTCAGCGGGGACGTGGGGCACGTCCGCAGGCTCATGGAGACCAACTTCATCAGCTACGTGGCCTTGGCCACGGCTGGCCTGCCCATGCTGAAGGAGAGCCAGGGCAGCATCGTGGTGGTTTCATCCATAGCAGGTGAGCTCCCGGGGCCCTCAGCCTGCCCTGGATCCCTGCTGAGACTCTGCTGCAAAAGGCAGAGGAAGGACCACAAGCAGAGTCACTCAGGGTCAGCAGGTGATTGAGCTCTTTGGTGCACAATTCAGATGCTCTGGGAAATTCATCTTTTGTGCTGTCAGTGTCTTGGCACCCTCTGGTCGCCTTCACACGCCGCAGTGCAGGTGATTTCACAGGCATGGCCACACATTTAAAACACACTTGCAATACGTGGGCATCTCTGTGGGGATACAAAAGCAGTATCAGCCGCTCTGGGAGTCCCTTTGAGCCATATGTTACATTTTAAACATTCCTGAGTGTGTTTTACCTCTCAGGCATTCCAACAGCTTATCCCAACACCCTCAATCCCAACACTGTAGCTACTGGCAGGGCAGGAGGGAGGGAGAGCTGTGCAGCCTGAGCCCCAGCGCTGTGTCCCTGCTCCAGGTAAAATTGCTGGCCCTTTTACTGCTCCCTACTCCGCAACCAAGTTCGCCTTAGACGGATTTTTCAGCTCCTTGAGGCAGGAACTCATCATAGACAAGGTGAACGTTTCCATCACGCTCTGCATCCTGGGCTACATCAACACAGGTAAGCTCAGCCCTGCCAGGACCCCGCGGCTCAGCCCTGCCAGGACCCCGTGGCTCAGCCCGTCCCAGGCACAGCCCAGCTGAGCCCAAACCCAGTCCTGGTGCCAGCCTGCTCTGCCGCTGCTGCTGGAGCCTCCTGCAGCCTCTGCAGCTGGGAAACACCACCCCAACCCTTCCAAAAGTGTGGCCTGAGGCCTTGGACTCTGCCAGGCTCGCAGTGAGCTCAGGAGAGGTCAAGGGAAGGGAAGGGAAGGGAGAGTGGAGAGGAGAGGAGAGGAGAGGAGAGGAGAGGAGAGGAGAGAATTGTTATTGTCACTGTTCTAAGCCTGGTCAAACAGGTGTGATCCCCAGAGTCAGTGGGTTTGGGGGTGCCCCAGACACCCCAGTGGGCTGATGGTGCTGTGGCCGTGTCCCCCCTGACTCGTCCGTGTCCCCGTTGCAGAGAGCGCCGTGCAGGCCGTGTCACACGTCATCCCCGACACGCCGGCCCCCAAGGAGGAGTGTGCCCTGGAGATCATCCGGGCCGGGGCCCTGCGCCGCAGGGAGCTGCACTACCCGGCCCGGACCGTGGGCAGCATGCTGCTCGTCCACAGCCTCGCCCCCGAGCTCCTCGACTCGCTTGTCCGCAGCAGCTACCGCCTGGAAAATGTCCGCAGAACGTAGTCCTGGGGCTGGGCTGGCACCTGGGGCCCAGCAGGACGGCTCTGGCTGTGAGCCCAGCTCCCCTCCACACACTGGGCATCCCTGTGCTGGCGCCCTGGCAGCCTGGGCCGGGACACTCCAGGAGGCTACCGCAGCACAAAAATGTCCTTTTTAGTCATGGGCTCTCGTAAAGGGCTTTTTCCAAGGAAGCGCTTTAGAGAAGTCCTGCAGCAGTATGTGCTGCCAGTGCCCTGCCCACCGGCAGGTTCCTGCTCAGCCTGCAGAAGCTGTTCCCTCTGGAAAGCCACCGAGGCAGCAGATCTGAGCCCTGGCCCAGGACCAGGCTTTGGACCATGCAGCACAAACCACCCAAAGCCACCAGAGAGTCTCTGAATCTGGAGAGTTTCTGTCACACATCCCTTCCATGCCGGTCTTTGTAAAAATAAATCCAGTGTTACTTTGAGATCTCTGCTTTTCCGGGTGTTCCTTCTCCACGTGCACAGCCCTTATCAGGGCAGGGCGCCCTTATCAGCGCCCAGCTGCCTAAACCGACCTCCTCCCGATTTGCATTAACCAAGCTTTCACTTCTCTAAAGACCTTAATGAATTTCTGCCATTCCTGACCTCTCCTCAGCTGCCAAAACACACTTTTTTCCCTCTTTCTAATCTGCAAGAAGCCTTAAAATAATAGCATTACTGTACTTCCCCAAAGCCGCTCAAGGAAACCCCATCCCCGAGCGCCACAAGCAGCTCCAACTCAACCTCTGTGCCACAGAGGGGGAGATGCCCCAGAAGAAAAGTGCTGGCTGTGCTGGGAGCCGGGCTGGAGCCTCGGGGCTCCCGAGATAAACCCGGGGCCGCGGGCACACGCAGGAACCGGGGCTCGGCCGCAGCTGCAGCGTTTCCTGTTCCACAGAGACAGCAAGAGAGCTCAGCATGAGCTGCCTGGCATGAGGAGGGCAGCCGGGGCGTGCTCCTGCCCGAGAGCACCCGGCTCGGCACCGAGGGCAGGACAGGAGCCTGGCACAGGTAAGAGCTGCGGACGCACAGCTCCAGGCTGCTGGGCTGCAGGGCAGCAGCGGCCAAAGGCAGCTCCAGGCACCTTCTCCCTCTGTTTCCACCCCGCTTTCAGCCTCCACAGCTTGCACTGGGAAACTGGAAGGTGAACCAGCAAGAAGCAAGGTTTTTTTGCTGGTTTCCCTTGAAGCGAGAGGTGTAACAGCTTGGAAAGCAAAGATAGAGGACATGTTTAATTCCAGAGGGTAATTTGGGGTAACAGAAGGAGGAAATAGAGCATTAGCTTGTCAAGAAAGCCTCCAGGGTTTGCTCAGCCCCGGGTGAGTAATGGACTGTGTTTCTTTAAGCTTTATCCTGCTTCTCAGTGCATTTTTGGTGAACTGAGGCTTTTACAGCCCTGGGACAGGCTGGGCAAGCCAGAGGCAGCACAGGTGGGAGAGGACTGAGGTTTTCCTGGTGGGAAGAGATGGATGAGTGGAGACTGAGCAGGACACACAACTGGGCCTTTTCTAAAATGGAGCAAAATGAGTGAAAAAACGCTCAGCTTTTGGAGCAGTGTCCTGGCTGGGGCCTGTGGGCACCTTCCCCACCCAGGGACCACGCCAAAAATGCTGCTGGCCTTCAAAGGAGGCCCCTACAGTAAGAGGTAGTACCAGGAATGAGCTTTGAGCACCCCACAGCTACCACATGGACAGCAGAAATAATTACAGAGCAGATTTTAATACAAACCGAACAGCATGGAAGCATTCTGGATGTAACTGGCCCTCCAGAAGCACTGCCCGACACCCCACATCCATAAATCCTAGAAAGGGCTGGTTTGCACTCATCCCCCGTGTTTTGGCCTGGCTTCGCAGGGCAGAGGCCCCGAGGGGACAAGGCCACCATGCCCAGGAGGGCACGGCCGCGCCCGGGCGAGAGCTACGAGGAGCGGAGCGAGCGGCGGCAGGCGGCGCGGCCGCGGGGCAGGGACAGCGCTGTCCCCTGCTGCCGCCCTGCCCGCCGGCCCGCCCCGCCGGCCACCAGCCCCCGGCAGGCACAGTTCCTCAGGAGGAGGAACCTGGCGGCAGAGCCCGGGGAGACCCCGCCGGGACACGAGCCCGAGGCAGCGACCCCGCTGGAGAGGTCCCCGACGGTGGAGCCCGGAGCCAGCGCCCTGCTCCAGGTAACGCCTGCCCTGGCACAGCCAGGAGCTCATCCTGGAGCTGATCCTGCTCCAGGTAACGCCTGCCCTGGCACAGCCCGGAGCTCAGCCCGGAGCTCACCCTGCTCCGGGTAACGCCTGGTGTGGCACAGCCTGGAGCTCATCCTGGAGCTCATCCTGGAGCTCATCCTGGAGCTCACCCTGCTCCAGGTAACCCCTGCCCTGCAGTACAGCTAGGAGCTCAGCCTGGAGCTCATCCTGGAGCTCACCCTGCTCCAGGTAACCCCTGCCCTGCGGTACAGCTAGGAGCTCAGCCTGGAGCTGATCCTGCTCCAGGTAACGCCTGCCCTGGCACAGCCTGGAGCTCAGCCTGGAGCTGATCCTGCTCCAGGTAACGCCTGCCCTGGCACAGCCCGGAGCTCATCCTGGAGCTGACCCTGCTCCAGGTAACCCCTGCCCTGGCACAGCCCGGAGCTCAGCCTGGAGCTCATCCTGGAGCTGATCCTGCTCCAGGTAACACCTGCCCTGGCACAGCCCGGAGCTCATCCTGGAGCTGATCCTGCTCCAGGTAACGCCTGACCTGCGGCACAGCCCGGAGCTGATCCTTGAGCTCATCCTGGAGCTGATCCTGCTCCAGATAACCCCTGCCCTGCGGCACAGCCAGGAGCTCAGCCTGGAGCTCACCCTGCTCCAGCCACCACCAGAGCATCACATCCAGGTCAAACACAGCCCAAATGCAGAGTGAACAGACAAAAACCGTGCATGTTTCACAGTCCCTGCTCCTCTCCTGCGTGCCAAGCCTTGAACCACGCGGCGATTTTTCTGCCATTTCTCCAAGTACAACTGCAAGCTTCTGCTGCCAGGCTGCAGTTCTGCACTTGCACAAATTAATTTTACCCTTGATAAGTGAGCTCCATCCCCCTGGCTTCCCTCCCTCACCTGTGCTGTGAGCAGGAAGGGTGGAGGAGGCAGGAGACTCCTGGCACTCATTACCCACCCTGTGCCACACAGGAGCCCAGAGAGCTCCCTGCCTTCAAACACCTTTGTGCAGAACACCCCAGGCAGGGCCAAACAGATCTCCCTGTCAGTGTATTTCTGTGTAAAATTCCCTGGGGGTCACAAAGCCGTGTGAGCTCAGACAGCTGAGCACGGGGTGATTTACACAGACCCACCCCGCACCAGGGTGAGCAGAGCAGTCACCCACCCCTGCTGCCACTTCAGCAGCTTCTGGAACAATCTGTGACGTGCAGGGCCTGCCCCGGTGAGCTGTGCAGAGCTGACAGCCCGGGGAGCAGAGCTGGCAGCCCTGCCCAGGCAGCCAAGGGGCAGCACAGACCCACACCAGGGCCCGGCTCCCGGCCACCTCGTCCCGTTCTGGGCTGTCGTTCCCCACCCAGCAGTCAGCAGGCTGTTCCCCACTTTGCCACGAAGCTCTGCTGCAGCCAAAGCAGCAGATCCCTGTGGAATTGCCAGAGCTCCTTGGCATCTCCGTGCTGCCCCTCAGCAGTCCCTCCCTGCAGGCACAGCCCCTGCCCTCAGCCTGTTTGGGGCAGACACTGACTCCAGCCGCCCTCTCTCTCGTTCCAGCACCCCAGGAGCTGCCCCACGCTCCCCCCTGCTCAGTCCCTGCTGAGCCTCAGCAGCCCCCGGGCACGAGGGGACTCCGTCACCACCCAAGGTACGTGAGGGGTGCTCAGATCTCCCAGCACAATATTCCCTTCCCACCTTCCCGTCTCTGTGGAGCTGTTTGGGATCAGCTGGCAGCTCCCCAGCCAGCATCCCCCTCCTGTGCTGCTTCACCACCCCAGCCTGAGTTTTCCCTGCAGACTGCAGGAACCAGGGATATTTTTCCTGGGGAAGGATAAAGCAGTGCAGAGTGGCCCCCAGTGCTGCTGAGCAGCTGCTGTGCCCCAGGGCTGCCCCAGGACCAGCCAGGGGAGTGACTTCACTGCAGAATAACTTCCTTTGCTTCTCTGCCACCAGAGCAGGGCATTTATTTGCCTCTTGTGCCCGTTGAGCTGTCACTGGACACTGTTTAATAACTATTTTTTATTTAAACTGGGAGCAGTGGGAGCAGAGATGGGCACCCTCATGGAAAAACACCCACGGCCCCTCAGGGGATCATTCACAGGCTCTCCCTTTGCTCCCACAGGAACACAGACCCTCCCAAGCCCCAGCCCAGGAGTGACAGACTCGAGCCAGCAGACAGAGTAAGCAGCTCCTGCTCCTGCCCTGGCAATGCCCACGGGGCAGCAGCTCCCCAAGCCCAAAGGGCTCCCCCCAAAAGGTTTGCTGCACAGACACAGCTCAGCTGGGGAGGGGGTGTCCAGCTGAAGACCCTCCCTGACACCTCAGTAACGCACTTTTTGTTTTTCATTTCAGCTGGGGAATAGCAGTTTTGAATAAGGTAAGCAAAGCACAGGTAATGACCAGCCTGGAACTGCTGAAAGTTAAACTGCTGTGGAAATATTTCCACTTCCCTGGAAAAACTAACCCAATGGACCCCAGCAGGCTCCCCTTCTCCACCCAAATATAGGCTGCTAGTCCACTTTTATTTAAAAATATTTAGTTTATTGGAGCAAGTTCATGACATGTTTATAAACTGAAACAATCCTATTTTTAAACACCTGCCCTTTCCCTTTCAGGAAATGGTGCAGCTCTCCAACTACCTGAAGGTAGGTACCAACCAGGGCTCAGAACCCACTGGGACAGCTGGTTTTCATCAGGAATAATAGTTTTAAAATTATTACTATTGCTAAGTGAAGGGGTGTTAAAACCCCAATTTTCACACGGCCAAAAAAGCCAACAGAGCTCAAAGAGCTGGAGCCCCCAGGCAGGGCCAGCCCTGGGCTGGGGGGCTCTGGGCTGTGCCCCCAGCTCTGCCCCCACTGACCGTGTCCCCTGCCCCACAGGAGGCCCTGCACCGCGAGCTGCTGCTCAAGCAGAAGATGGTGATTTTACAGGAGCTGCTGTCCACTCTGCTCCAGGCTTCGGAGAAATCCTGGCAGGTACCAGAGAGCTGCAGAACCCCCCATCACCTCCCCTGGCTCCCCTGCCTCTCTGCTCAGGGAGGGTGGGACCAACTCAGCAGAAAAGGTTCTTTCTGTCTTCTATGAGAATGCAAAATTAAGATGATACATTTTATGTAATATATAAGGCTTTCTTACAGGATCCTTAAATCAAACAATTCGTGCCGTTGTGGCATTTTAAAAAAAGTGTTATGAAAGTCCTGTTGGGGCAGAGAAGCGAGTGATTGGGTGAGGGGGGCACAAAAACTCGTGTTAGACATCCTGTGGTGAGAAGCTTCCGCCTTCGCTCGCTCCTCCAATATAACGTGAGCAGGAAAAAACACTCGGCCACAGGCGCAGGAAGTGGCCAGGAAACCTCAGAATACAGACAGGTGGGTGCTCCCTGCTGCTCGCTGTCCCTGCTGCAGGAGAGGCTTTGTGCTGCCTCTTGCACGCTGCTGTTCCTCAGCCTAAAAATCAGCTTTTCATCAGCTTAAAATCAGCTTTTCGTCAGCCTAAAATCAGCTTTCCTCAGCCTAAAAATCAGCTTTTCATCAGCCTAAAATTCAACTTTCCTCAGCCTAAAATTCAGCTTTCCATCAGCCTGACAGTCTCCTCGGTGCTGGAGCCAACAGGCAGATGCTGCTGCTGGGAGGGGATTCCACGAGGCAGGTGGGGCTGGGGGGCTTCTCCAGGGGGTGCTGGCAAAGGGATGGATGGATGGATGGATGGATGGATTGGATGGATGATGGATGGAGCCTTCCCCAAAATGCTGTGCCATGGAAGATGAGGGCTGGCTGGCCCTTTCCAGCCTCAGGTGAGGTGCCAGATGTTTGTTGTAGCAGCTTTTTAACCCTTTCTAACAGTTTCAAAGGGTTTCAAAGATGAGCTGTTGAACACCTGTGAATGATGTGGCAGAACTCTTGGAATGGCCACGGAGTAATTTTTGAGGTTCTCTTGATGTGTGCTTGTGGCTCGATGGGGCAAGTGAAAGCACACTGCAGGGACAAAGCATTTGTCCCTTCTCCCTCCACAATTTCACTTTGAGGTCAGAGAGACCTTCCTACCCCAGGCCTGTGCCTCAAATCCCCCACCAGTTGTAAAACTAGCTTGGCTGATTCAGAAATGCTGCCAGATGAAGGATGATGCTCAGTGAGTCTCTCCATCCCAAACCCTTCCATGATTTCTGCTCCAGAGCACAGGAAGGGCCTGATTGCCTGGTACATGGCACAGCCACATCTGTGCACAGCTGGAACCTGTGCAGACAGCAGAGGAGGAGAACTGAGAAAAACCAGGCAGAATATTGCACATCTAAAATTGCTTTTCAAAATTCCACCTACTTACTAAGAGCCTTTAGTTCTTTGCATCAACAACTGAACTGGGAAGATTGAGTCTTTGGGACTGTAAATGCGTTTCTGTGCAAATTTAACCGGTGCTGAGACACCAGGGAGTCTGGTTTTGCTTGGGTCTGTCAGCTATTCCTGTAACATCGAGGAGTTTCTCTTCAGAGTCGTGACTTCAGACAGCAGTGGGCAGAGAGGATATTGGTGTTCTCAGTATGGGTGGTGGAAAACAGCCCACGTGAACTCTTTGCTAGAAGTGTTATCTGAATTTGCATGCAGTCTGCTTCCACAAAGCCTGAGCAGCCTGACTAACACCGAGAGGAGATGATGACAGTGAGGAAAATGAATCATCATGGGTGCCCTCGATCCCCCTGCCCAACTGCAGATGTTACAGCCCAGAGCCAACCCATTTTCTAAGGAAAGCAGCGAGACAAGGCCGTTCCAGCAGCTGGAGCTCGAGGCAGGGAGGGAGCACAAGCAGAGAACAGGGCTGTCCGTGGGGACAGGCAGCAGCTGCATTTCTGCCAAAGCCAGCCAGAACAGCCCCAAATCCCCTCGCTCCTAACTTGTCATGTCACTGCCAGCACCTGCACTCAGTAACCAGAGAAACTGCCTCAGGACAGGTTTTCAATCCATAGGAGTTTCACCTCCCCCATATCCCATTTATTCTGAGGCTGGGAAGGTTTACTTGAGCTCTCAGCACTGAAGAGAATTTGATGTGATTACAGATGAAGGGAGAGAATGAATCAGAACACAGCCCAACAAAACATTGGGGGCACATTGTGCAGTTCAGGATTTCACATCTCACTTCAACTGCTTTTCCCCAGGGCCAGCTGAACGAGGACAAACTGAGGTGTAAACTACGGGTGCTGGAAAATCAGCTGCAGGCCTGCACCCAGGTAATGTCTGATTCACTGACAAACACGGGCGAGGAAAGGCAGGAAAACAAAAACCAAGCCTCGAACTGGGCCGGGTCTCAGTTTCTACATCAATGTGATGAGATACCTATCCAGAAAGGAATTCAACTCTGTGCTGAAGCAATGCTTCACAGCACATTAGCAGTAGCATTTACACACTCCGGGTTTGTTAATACTCAGGTGTAGCAAGGTGAGAATCTGACAGATAAGCATTTCAAGCTCTTTCTTTCTTTCCAGAGTTACTCAAAGGAGTGTGTGAAGAAGATCCTGATAGAGATGGAGGACCAGAAGCAGACCTATGAGCAGAAGGCAAAAGAGGCTCTTCAGAAGATGCTGGAGGACAAACTCCTAACAGAGCAGAAGCTGCAGAACTCTCAGGTGAGCAACACGTCTTACACCTGGCTTGGCTTTAATTTAGCCCAGCTGTGATAAAGAAAACCCACACATCAGGGAAAGGTGATGACAGCCTTGCCATTAGCAGCAAAGATAAAAAAATATGAAGTTTTAGCTAGTCAGCAAAGCCCAAAGCAGCTTTAATGCAACCTGTGCTCACTGCACGAGCTGCACATCACGTTACAGACAGCTCACAGCTGAGGAAATGTGCTCGGGTTTGTCAGCTTGAATTGCAACCCCTTCCTCCCCACCATCCCTCTGGGCCATTCCCTGCCCTGCTCACACCAACAGACACCAGGGCACGAGGTCTCCAGAGCTGCTCTTTCTGGAGCTGCTCATTTATAAGAAAATAGGTTTTCCTCAAGAGGCAGCAAATTGCCTTGACCCACAAGATAAGAGGTATTTGCAGAAAGACAAGTGAGCTTTATCCCAAGTAGCACCAGGCTCCTCAAGCTTGCTGGAGCACAGGAACCGGTTCCAGAGGGAGCATTGCCCTGCTTGGCTCTGTCCATCAGATGGCATCAGCCCCACGCGGGTTTTGTGTGCTGCTGCTCGGGGAGCCAGCACAGCCCAGCTGGTGTCACCAGGGCAGGCTGGCAGCATCCCCCGGGCCCTGGTCAGCCACCCCTGGGTCACACCCACCCCTGGGTCCCTGCTCTGCTCTCCAGAGAAGCCTGGCAGAGATGCGAGAGAGCCTGGCCCTCTGGAAGGAGCACAACGCCACACTCAAAGCCGAGCTGACCAAGGAGACCACAGCACACACCGAGCTCAGAAACAGCTTCCAGGCTTTGCAGAGCGAGCTCCAGGTACGCCAGCTCCCGCCAGGAGCAGCTTGCTCTGGGATTTTGCTGCCGCCGGGCTGCCCAGAGCAGCCGTGGCTGCCCCCGGACCCCCGGCAGTGCCCAGGACCCCCGGCAGTGTCCCCGGACCCCCGGCAGTGCCCGGGCCAGGCTGGACACTGGGGCTGGGAGCAGCCTGGGATAGTGGCAGGCAGTGCGGGGGCAGGACGAGGCGAGCTGTGATGCCCTCCCAAGCCGGCCCGGTGTGTGTGTGTCTGTCTGTCCGTCCTGGCGCAGCGAGCGGACGCGCAGAGCCAGCGGCTGAGCCGGGAGCTGCGGGCGCTGCGGGACGAGCGCACGGAGCTGCTGCAGCGAGCCAGCGCCCTGCGCGGCGACAACGACCGCCAGGCCGGCCACATCCGCCACATCCAAGGTACCCGGCCGGGCTGTGCCCGCCGCGAACGCGGCAGGGACGGGGACAGCGCTCCTGGAGCCGCGGGCTCCGCGCAGCGCTCACACCGGGCTCGCTCCAGCGCGCCACAAGGCTGCTGGTTGCCAAAGCCCTCCAAAAGGTGCTCCTGGCTGGATTAAAGGGTTCAGAGAAGTGGCTTGGCTAGAGGAGAGGATGTAATGAGAGACCTGAAAAGAAATAAAAACCTAAGATATGTCCTCAGCTTGAAGCAGGACTTTCCTCCCTTGGCAGAGCACCAGTGCTGGGTGGTGAGGGCAGTACAGAGGAGCTGGTAATGTCCTAAAGCACCACTTCAGACACAGGCAAGGAAACTCACACACGTTATTTCAAACTCACACGTGGCTATTTTGAAACATAATTAGGGAAGAGAAAGCGGGTTGCAGTTCTAATCTCATAACGGGTCTTGCATGAACGGCTTTAAAATAAAGCCGTAAATGACTTGAACATGAGGCACGAGAGAAAAAGCTGCCAAAAAAGAAAGGGCAATAAACAGCTGAAAATCACATCCCTTCAAAGAAAGTCCAGGGCAGCCAACAATATCTGCTCACTCTACACATGTGGAGAACAGAAAAGTACCACCCTTGCATAAAGATACATATTTATACCAACTTTGATCTTCTATCCTTATTTCAGATAAATTGCAAAAAGAACAAGAGCAGAAAGTAACACTGGAGGCAACAATCAGCCATTTGCAGAGTAAGTAACACAGAAATGCACAAAGTTAGAGACCTCCTTTGTGCTATAAACAATAATGTTGCTTTTTTGTGTCCCCAGACTTGATCCAGAACCAGACCAACCAACAGAAGAGCCAGCAGGTGACGGTGCAAAGGACAGGTCAGCAAACTTTGTAACCCCCACGTAGCACTCCCTGGACACAGGAACACTAGCCCTGACTCTAGGAAAAGTCTGCAGTGCTTTAGAATAACGGGTTATTTTAGAGCTACACGGAATGAGTTGTTTTGCTAGCTAACATTAAAACATAAACGTATTTATGATGGCAAACACTTTAAAAATTAAATGGATTTCACTGCAAATTCTACTTCAGTGGCTCCGCCATATTTTTTCCAAACAAAACACATTCCAGTGTATAATTGCAATAACAGCTGTACTTGACAGAAAGAAAGAAAAAAAAAAAAGGCATTTTAACTCTCCCTCCCCTCCATTTCTGGCAACTGCTCAGAAATATTGCTCTTAAGATGATGAGCTTGTAGCTACAGCAGAGACAGGCCTGTGATAACAAACCCAGCTCCTGTGTCCTCTGCTTTGTGCATAGCACACAGACCTTATCCCTAAACTGTGCTGAGTAAACAAGAGCTAAAGCCAGCCCAGAGCCTGGAGCTGTTTCTCATCAGAAGCCTGACTGTTTTCTAGACCAGGTTTTCACCACACAGACCCCACCTCTCACTCCTGCCAAGGAAAAACAAAAAGCTCTGTCAGAGCACCCCGAGGAGGAGGAGGAGGAGGAGGAGGAGGAGGAGGAGGAGGAGGGAACAGAAAGCCTGCAGGATGAGATGCAGAAAAGGACATCCCAGCTCACAGCAAAGGAGAACGAGGTGAGGAAGTCACTCAGAGCTGTCTCACTCCAGCCAGCTCCCATAAACACGGGGACAGGACATCACCCCTTCCCTCAGCTGCTGGGGTTACTCCATCCCGAGCTGTCTCACTCCAGCCAGCTCCTGTGACCACGGGGACATCACCCCTTCCCTTGGCGGCTGGGGTTACTCCATCCCGAGCTGTCTCACTCCAGCCAGCTCCTGTGACCACGGGACATCACAAAGCCTGCAGGATGAGATGCAGAAAAGGACATCCCAGCTCACAGCAAAGGAGAACGAGGTGAGGAAGTCACTCAGCAGAAACACCACGCACCAAAGCTCCTGCAGGTAGCCCAGGCTTGGTTCCTGTAAGGATTATCTGCCCTAAATTTTATCCTGACCCACTCCTAAACCCCCGATGAAGCACCTACACACAAGGGCAGGGCTGCAGCAGCCTTGGCTGCAGGAGCAGAGCTCTCCCTGTACAAACCCCCCTGCTCTCACAGACAGGAGAGCCTCAGCAGCCCCACAGGGAAAAGCCAAAGCCACACTTTAAGAACCAAGCCCCTGAGCATAAAGGAAGGAGAGGAGGAAAAGAAAATGCTTGCAATAATAACAACAATAAAAATATCAGCAAGGGCCTGCTAACAGAAGCAATGCCCATACAACTGGACTGCAAAAAAACCCCAAAAAAACCAAAACCTTTTACACACAATTTGCCATCAAACCAGCTTTCTGCCAACCAACAGCCCCTCAATTCCTATAGCAGTGTTCAGCCAGCAAGGATTTATTTAAAAGGACTTATAAAAAAATAATTTATAACTTCGTGTAGCAGAGCTGAGAGCCACGCAGGAAAAGAGCTTGTGCTGTGAGTGCTGGCAGCAAAGCAGGCAGCTGTGGAAGCTGGCAGGCTGGGCAGTGCCCCAGCAGCACGCTGCAGTGACACTGAGCTGTGCTCTGTTCCTGCCCCGAGGCACCGAGGGACAAAGCCCCTGTGCCCACCACTGCTGTGGCTCGCACAGGGTGAGAAGGACAGGGCATCCTGTGCCCCGGCATCCAGCCTGCCTGGGGTTTATGCCCCCAAGGTCTCCTCCTGTATTTACTGCCTCCCTGAATGGGAGGTTCTCGATCCTGGCTGTCTCTACTCTTACCTGACAAAGGAACCAGCTCAGGGGGGCTCCTCAGCACAGTCCCCTCGTGTGTCCTGAGCAATTCTCCCACCTCACACCCACTGCTTTATCCCACTCCTGCCTCTCCTGTGGCCGAGCATCCCCACAGCCACACCTGCTTCCCCTTCACTGCCAGCACCACAAGAATTCACCAGAGACAGGGGTTTAAAGTCCCTTTTGCAGCTGCACCGTGCAGGTTTTACAGCAGCACTTGCCCATCATTCATGTGCAGGCTCAGACACAATGCAGGCCATGACACCACCTCCCGAGGAAGTAAATATACCTGAAATATACACAGAATGTACACATAGTAAATACACATGGAGCCTGCAATAAACTTCACTAATTCAAAGCACCATGGTGATCAAATAATTTATTAATTTTCAGCTGCCCACTGCAAATAAATACACACTGCCTTTGCAGGGTGCGATGTGCAGGCAGGCAGGACCGAGGGAGCATCTGGGAGCACACACATTTATTTTTTTTAAATGTATTTGGTTTTGCCACCGGCCTGCAGTGACCGTCTCAATTCAGCCTTCAGTGCTCAAGGACCACGAGAGGTGCAGGGGACAACACACACAGGGAGCTGGATCTTCTGCCTTGGTCCCTAATGCAGTGAGGAAGGCTAAAAAGTCTCAGTACACTCGTGTTTTACAAGGCAACCGCTGGAAGAGACACGACCTCGCTGGAAATGCAGAGATCTACAAAATCGCTCTGAGCACTGAAAGCCTCCTTGAGCTCCTGGCACCAGGCATCCAGCACGTCCCCGAGCTCGGCGCAGAGGCTCTCCGGGACGCTGAAGGAGTAGATCTGCACCCTGAGCCCATCCTTTATGCGGGGGCAGGAGGCCCGGGCCGTGAACAGCCTCAGCGGGGTCAGCGCCAGGCAGTTCTCAGCACCCTCAGCGAAGGTGTACACGGCGGGGTAGCCCAGCAGCACCCCGGCCACGGTGCACAGGTTCCAGCCGCTGGCGACAACCTCGCTGGCGGTCACCGGCTCGGCGCTGTTGGCCTCGGCGTCCCGCAGGTGGCCCAGGAGGGCGGCGAGGTGGCGGCGCACGGCGCGGGCCTCGGCCGGGGCGCAGAGCTGCGGGCCCCGCCGCGCCGCCGACACATCCACAGCCTGGGCACAAAGCAGGGCACAGGGACAGTGCCCACAGCCTGGGCACAAAGCAGGGCACAGGGACAGTGCCAAGCCGTGCTGGGAGCCGCTGACAGCTCCGTGCCATCACTGAGTGCTCAGGGTTGTACAGATCTGAGCGATCAGCCCCCAGGAAACTAGAGAAGCTCCAGAGGTTGCTTCCAACCCCATACTGTTATATATGCATTTACGATGCCAACATATTAGAATCACTATAAAAAAACCCCACACTGAAAGGAGTATCAGCCTTTGAGGTTGCTGTTACAGCCCGTGAAAGAGAAAAAAAGAAGACTAGGTGATATTGTCCAGGCAGATTTAATAGAGCACAGATTATTTTCTTTCTCCCCTTCTAATGATCAAGTATTTATATACATTGTATTATAGCAGATTAAAAAATATTACAGAATTGAAATCTGATTTATACAGAAGGGTTACTTAAGCAAACAGCTGAAGAGGGTGAAGGAGTTAGAAGCATTCCTGTAATCCCCTCTGTTTTGAGCCGCTTCCAAAACAAAAGCACCACAAATTGCTGAAATTGTAGAAAGATGACGAGATTTACAGATTTTATTTGTTCAGACCGAGGCGAGGCACAGGTTAGGAAAAGCTTCTGTGTATGTACAAGAAGAAGCCCCGGAGGAAGCGGTCACTGCGCTGGGAGCGGCTGTGCCATGTGCATGGCCGGGGCCTGCATGGGCCAGCCCTCCTGGTGGTTCTGCAGCAGCCGGTAGAGCTGCTTCAGGTGTGCCACGATGTTGTCCTTGATGTCCGGCGTGGAGATCTGCAGCCGCACGCTGCCGCTGTCGAAGGAGCGCGTGAAGTCCCCGGAGAACATCTCGTAGATCATCCGCGCCACAACGGGGATGACCTGGCGAAGAAGTCCCTTATTTAGCCTAAAGGCATGTGGAATGTCCCTGTTTCTCTGCAGGAGCCCCTGCCCTGGATGCAGAGATGGTTTCCACAATACCCTCAAACGCATCCACAAACCAGTTCTGTTCAGCACACGTCACATTTGTATTTGCTCTCCCAAACCACCAGGCTTACTGGAGTTTTCCTGGTGTCAGAAGCCACAGCAGGTAAGAACAGGTCTCGGTATGCACGGGAATTGATCCCAAACCAAACAAGGCTGGCACATGTCACCCCAGAGCCCCAGTGCCCTACCTGCACCACGATCAGCTTCCTCTCCCTGGGTTTTCCATCGGGCCACTCTTCTCCAAAGCAGAAGTAGATCTCGTAGGGTGGCTGTTTCTCAATTTGTCCCTTCTGATGGGCAATCAGCTCTAGGAAGAAAAGCAGAGTGCTGCAGGGTTGTCCTCTTTAGGGGAAACACCCATGACATCCCACCTCATTGCATCACCCCCAGCCTTACCTACACAGTCCTCTGCCACCTCTCACACAGTTACAGCTCACTCCTTGCACGTGAAGGGCTTTCTTTAAAAGCAAGGCCCTCTGATGTCTCTCAGAGCATTAAATGAGTGTACAGTGCCCTTCTCCTGCCAGACACCCGCTCCAAGCTCCCCTGAAGTCAGTGGCCCTGACCCGCTGTCCACACCTGGTGCATCCAGGCAGAGCCCCAGTGCAGACCACCCTTCCCAAATGCCCGCTGTCCAAAGCTGTTTTCCAGAAGCAGAAGTTACCTACCGCTCAGGAACGTTTCCAGACAGAAGAGCTTGACCTTCTTTTGCCTCTCGATCAGGTTTGGGGTGGTGGAGGAGGGGGCACAGGGCCCAGACCAGTACACCTTGCACTGGCAGAGCCGCACGGCGTAGATGGCGTGGCCGCTGACCTCCAGGATCAGTCCCCTGTCCATAACATCCAGTAGCCGACTCGTGAAGATCTTCTGCCTTTCGTTGGTGATCTGCTCCGTCCCTGGAAACTTGACTTGCTCCAAACTGATGGGCCCAAAGAGCTCCTCCTGGTCTGGCATAGGACCCAGCTCTCCGTAGAAAAGTCTGCAGCCCTGTGGGTTGCTCACGGTCGTTGTGGGTCCGGTCTCCTTTCCTCGATACTCAAACTTGATTTCTAGGTCTGTCACTGAGAGAGAAACCATCAGTGTGGCTTTTCCTGGAGCACCAGCAGCTGGGACACCACGCAAGCCCTGCTGCCCTCACAGGGATGTTCACACCACACAAAATTCTATTTACACTACACAAGTTCTCCTCACTCACTCACTCACAAACAGCCACGGGAAAAAAGGCAAAACCCTCTTTTCTATGGGGTTTTAAAGTACAAAGCAGAAGCACTGTTACAAGCCCATGCACGTACTTGGCAGGGAGCTGATCCAGAGCTCAGGGCTGCTGAAGAAGTCGTGCTGCAGCGCCGTTGGGGGCATTTCCATATCCAGAGGTTCATTCTTTGGCCACACAGTTTCAGAGCTGCAGTTTTCTGCACTGGCAGGAGCCATCGGAGAATCTACAAAAAGGCAACAACTCTTCAATAAATCAAGATTTTATTTCAAGCATGCAGAAATTTACAAACAAATACCTTCACTAATAAATCAGTCTGTGCCACCTACCATTGATATTAAGAAATGGAAATGTCTCTTGAATTGGGACATGCTGAGATTGATTCAATTCTTCCTCCTCTTCATCATCAAGATCATTATCCTTTTCATCCCACGGAGCTGAGCCAGTGGAACCTGCAAACAAGCACATTCTTGTGGGTGGATGATCAGCATGAAACACTGGGAAAGGATCATCTTCATGTTGGATATTAATTTGTGTATTTTTCAAATCTCAGTAAAAAAAAGATAAATCTCATCCATACAACATGCTAATTCCAGTTTAATATATAATTCTAGAAAGCAAAGGTTAAAGTATTGATGAAGTAAGACACAGCATTGCCAATATTAGCCTGTTTAGCAGGAAAACATACAACTGTGTGCAGCTTTTTAAATTTTAGGACTAAAGGATGGTTCAAAATCCTTTTAGTTACAGTACAGGCTTCAGCTGGCAGCTGCTCCTGCTGCACAAGGGCAGCTGCAGAGTTAATGCAGAGAGGGAAGGAGCTCCCTTGGACCCACGCCTGCCCAGGAGCCAGCCCGTGTCAGCAAGGCCCTCACCTGGATTAATGATTGATCCCTGCGACTGCGGGATGTCACACACTTCATAAATTTTAATAGGGTTCATGGGCACCTCCTTGGTGCCATCGTACATCAAATTAAATTCCCGGCTCTTGTTCAGTGCACATCGGAGCTGGGCCTTCCACTTTGCAGGGTCTGGCTCGTCCACTCCTTCCTGGTACTTTCCCGTTTCCACGGCCCATGCCTGGGGACAAAGTACAGGCAGCTCAGTCCAGCCCTCCCCACAGAGCAGCTTTTATCAGAAACCAAACCTCCAAATGAATCCACCGTAAAATCTTAGAGCTCTTGTGATAACAAAAAAGGAAATTCCCACTTCAATAGTTTTTCTATTAAAAGAAAAGTGGAGAAAAAGGATGTAAATCCAAATTCCAAAAGAATGTTCACAATTCTGGGTTAGAGATTTTGTGGGTCTCAGATTCAACACCAGAAATCATTTTTGACAGGGAGCCTGTGCAGGAGGAATGGACTCGGTTAAAATGGAGTGGAAGGACAGCCAAAGACATCCAGCTGGCCTCTCCCTCCCTCACCCCAAAATCTGATTACTGGTCCAAGATGCCTCCAAGACAAAGGTCAGAAATTCCTCAAAGGAGTGCAGGGAGTTACAGTGAATCCCTTGGGATAAGAATATTAGGGACAGCAGCGATGAGTGCCTGTGATGAGCTTGTGGTGGACCTCTTAAGACTTATGTAACAGCATTTCATGGTTTGCTGCCAAGAACAAGCCAGTGACCACATCCCAGCCTGAGCACATGAAGCCAACAGCAGTCATCTTCCAGAGACCAAGGATCACATAGCACCCGGCCTTTGGTGGTGGGAAAGGGTTAAAGAACTCAACACCATCCCAGGCAGTGCCAAGCTTGGCATCCAGGTGCACAAAGTGGCTTTTCTGAGGTCAGATAAATAAAATGTGCCTGCAAACAGCTCCCGAGATGCCCGACCAGCTCCTGGGCCAACAATCCAGCCCTTTGTCTCTGTTCCAGAGCCGTGGGACGCCCGAGCTGCCCCCTGCCTCACCTTGAAGATGGTGTTCTCCTCCTCGTGCTGGGGGCTGTGCCGAGTGGCGTGTTTCCAGGGGATCTGGAAGCGCTTGGCCTCGCGGTTCAGCCAGATCAGCCCGGGGTACATCCCGCTGTCCACCTGGGCCACCAGCCACGGCTTCAGGCGCACCCGCCGCGGGTGGAGGGCCATGCTCTGCAGGGGTGACAGCGGAGCCACTGCTGGAGGTTACTTGAGCCTCATTTGCTTCAAAGAAACGGAATCCATTTAACGAGAAAGGGCCCTGTGCTGTGTGACTGCTGTTATGTTTACGGTACTGCACCCTGAGAGCACCAACTCAGACTCAGCTGGGTGACTCCTCTGCCAGGGAGGGTCACACACACCTCTCCAAGGGGGCCCAGAGCTGCCACAGGGACAGCAGCTCACACTCAGTGCCCCAGAGTGCGATATTTGTGCTCAACCAGCACACGGAGCGCGAGCCCTGAGCAGAGCTGGGCTGTAAACGCCGAGCAGGAGATAAAGCCACAAACAAGCCACAGCAGGAACAGGCAGCAGAGTTTCCAAAGCCTCCACGCACACCTTGGAGAAGGGGCTGATCTGATCTCTGTTCCTTCCGTCCTGTCAGACTCGCACTCATGAGGAGAAATGGGCCCCGACTGGGAGGCTTTACCCGAGGCTCAGGGGCCAGGCTGAGGCACAGGGGCTGTTCTACCCCAGCCACAGACTCTGAAAGTCATTTTACGACTTTTCCGTGAATGCCCTGAATGCAGCATAATCACTGGCAAACAGCAGTGACCTGTAATAACCAGGATGTTTATCCAGAAGGACATGAACTGCAGGTCTGCCTGCACTGCTGCTAAAAATCGACTGCTGTTTACTTAATGTTTTTGTTAAGTAGCCTTGTGCTGCTCACACAATTGCAGCCAGCCAACAATATTTTCCTTGTATAGAACAAAGCCAAACAAACAAAATTAACGTGTGTCCTTCACTAAGAAGAGGCAACATGCAGTATCTTTAGCTTTTGGGAGGGGATTTCTGCACAACGCGTGTGCTCAGAGGTGCATCTCCCATATTCCTTCGTAAATCCTGAAACAGAGGTGAGAAATTACAAATATTCCTATTAATAAAGCAGTTACAGGACAAGTAAAACCTCTGCCATAAGCCCTGAATATTGCTGGAGGAGTTGCAAAATGTGTCTGGTAGCAGAGATGGAGAAGATTAAAAAAAAATCCTATCCAAGAACTAGTCTAGGAACAGGTTTTATTTGTTCAAATACCTGCAGATCCCATTCAGAGGCAAGCGCTCACACAAAATTAATCCAAACACAACTCAGTTTATCTGTTTATCTTTTCTGCAAAGAAAATGTTCAGCTTCAACTGCAAACCATTTTTAAATAATAGT